ATAGATAGATAGATAGATAGATAGATAGATAGATAGATAGATAGATAGTTGCATGGATGGATAGATAGATGGACAGATAGATAAGTAGGTAGGTAGATGGATGGATTGATGGAGAGAGGGAGGGAGGAAAGAAGAGAGAGAGAGTGGAGGGGAGAAGGAGATGGCAATAGCACTTAAGACTTATGTACCACTTTACAGTGCTTTACAGCCTCCTCTAAGCTGTTTACAGAGTCAGCCCCCAACCATTTGGGTCCTCCTGTTACTGATCTCGGAAGGATGGAAGGCTGAGTCGGCCTACAATAGCCATAGCCCTTGGACTCATAGACCACTTCACAGTGCTTTTTACAGCCCTCTCTAAGCAGCTTTACAGAGTCAGCCTCTTGCAAACCCCAACAATCTGGGTCCTCATTTTACCCACCTCGGAAGGACGGAAGGCTGAGTCAACCTTGAGCTAGCAGGAAGATAGCTCATGGCGTTCTCGGGCATGGTCTTCGTTTCTCTAGAAACATTACGAAATTTACTCTCTAGAATTCTTTCGGTTGAGAATTCTGCATAAATGAGCTCCACATTTCCTGGAGGCATCATCTTGAAGATACCAAGCTGATGGTCAAGATGGATGCATGATCTAATCTGGTGCCCATCCTATGAAGATGGTGTGTGTGTGTGTGTCAAACTATTTTCCAAAGCCCCAATAGTCAAGACAAGACACAAGGGATGGAAACGAACCAAGGAGAGAAGCAACCTAGAGCTAAGAAGGAATTCCCTATAGGAATGGAATAACTTGCCTTCAGAAGTTGTGGATGAAATAATAAGAAAAATATTAGTCTGTGCAGAGATGGACAGACTAACTTTAGAAATCAAAGATAAGGGTGAGACAGAGTATTATGAAGTCTGGAGTAAAATGTATCAATGGCTAGAGTCAAGGAAAAAGAAAGAAAGGGTTGACATTTTATAGGAATGAAAATTAAAGTTTTGTAATCCAAAAAGAATGGAATATAATGGACAAATACAAGATGATACGGATGCACGAGTATAAAAGACGGTTGTAAATATGTATATAACTGTATATAAATGTAAATAGAAATAATATGCAGCTAGCACTATACTGTGATGACCCAAAGGGGTGTGGCAAAAAGGCAACACAGTCAAATAAGCGAGAAGAGTCCCTTTATTATCTCCAACTTTGCCCCCAATGTCCAGGTTTCCTTCGGCTGGAGAAAAAAAACTCTCCCAAGAATAGCCTTTAAGTGGAGGAAATTCAGTCCGAAAACAAAGTACATACAAACTGTAAAAAAAATCCACACAAACCATGCTGCAGTAATCAACTTGACAGGGCAGGAGAAGGAATTTCAGCCTTGAAAACCCAGCAAAACACACACAGTTGGGAAGACGCCAGGAACCCAGATAAGCCTCGAGGATACCAGATAGTTCACGATTTGCTCCCAATAACTTTGCTGTGTGCAGCTTCCCCTTTTAAATACTGTGTTCCCAGCTGCAGCTAATGAAGGGAATCAGGGCCTTTTCCTCTCCCGTAAGCCACGCAACCCACGTTGCTCCCTTCTCCGTTCCTCTCTGTGTGCCCTAGGATGACGAGAGGGGCGGGCCTGGGTCTTCCTCTGAATTCCTTCTCCCCTGCTCTGCCCAGCCGGACTTTGCCCTTCCCTGGTTTCCTCCACAGCCA